TGGACAGAAGGGATTTGAGAACTACACCTTCAAGGAGATGTGGGGACTTTACAGCCAGTATTCTTTGGTTAAAAAAAAAACAGCGAAAATTACAATGAATTAAAAACAAAACAAAAAAAACTTTAGGAACATGGTTTTTTTTTTTTGTTATAACCCAACTCTGTTGTTCTGTTAAAGTAGGGAAGAAGAATCTACTGACATGAGATTTTTTTTTATCTTATGCTCTTCTAGGTAGTAAAGAAGCTGTCTGGTGAAGGGCGGCACTCAGCTGAATGGTTCACCAGCATCGGGAAGGAGCACTCACAGATCGTCTCTTTTGTGCTGACTTGTGAGGAATCCAAGGAGAAGCTGGAGCCAATGTGCAGCGGATTGATGGAGAGTGACAATCTGGCTGGTCAACCTGTCCTGAGCATCCTGTACATGGACCGTGGCTGCTGTCCTATTCACCGTTTTGACCCCACCATCTGCACAGAATCCCACAGCAAATGTGCCACGTTCAAGTCTGCGATTGCAGGGGGAGTTCTGGGCTACAACCGATCCGACCTGGAGCTCCTCATCATGGCCATCAAAGCCAAGGACCCGGTGGCACTCGAGTCTGTGACAGATGAGGAGGTTGTTCGCCTGTACATCACCAGGGATCAACTGAAACATCATGTCCGAAGAGTCACACTCGGAGCGCAGGAGACATTCAGGCTGGTCCACGAGGCCATTGAGGAACTGAAAGGTCCTGCAGGGCTGGATGAGAGTGGGGTTAACCTCTTCAAAACACCTGGTATGAAAACTAAAAAGCAAAATCTGACCAACAAGGCTCAGAATGAGTCAAAATGATCTTCAACTGTATATGTGTCGATGCATATTTACAGAGGCTATTGACGAAATGTGGGCAGCACAGCAGCGACATTCGGAGCGCATCCAGGATCCACCAATTCAATTCAATTCAATTCAGTTTATTTATATAGCGCCAAATTCACAACACGTCATCTCAAGGCACTTTACAGTTCAACCAGATCATACAGTCAAATTGATTCAAAGTTTTCTATCTAAGGAAAACCAGTTGATTGCATTGACTCATTGACTCAAATACAATCCCCCACACTAAGCATGCTTGTAGCGACAGTGGAGAGGAAAAACTCCCTTTTAACAGGAAGAAACCTCCAGCAGAACCAGGCTCAGTGTGAGCGGCCATCTGCCGAGGCCGACTGGGGTTCAAGGAGACAGAAGCAGAGACAAAAAAAGCAGCTGTAAAAGGCGGCCCCGTCCAGGAAACACACAGCCAGGCAGACGAGCTCCGAGCCAGCTCCCATGCCAGAGGACGAAGAGAGCACATCCACTCAGTCACGGTCAGAGAAACAGGACCACACTGGAAAACAGGCCGATCTCCAACATCTATAAACAAGGGTGTTGATGGAAGCAGCACAGCTGATGTTTCTTTCCAGGATGACGTCACAGCCAAACAGGAACAGACGAGGCAAAGCTACTCTGAGGAAAAGCAGAGAGAGCAGAAGGTTAGAGATTGAACTAACAGATTCTGCAGAATAGGAGAACAGAGAGAGAATGAAGCAGAATGATGAAATGGGGGTCCCTATGTCCTCCAAAAGTCTAAGCCTATAGCAGCATAACTATAGAGATAGCTCAGGATAACCTGAGCCACCCTAACTATAAGCTTTATCAAAAAGGAAAGTTTTAAGCCTAGCCTTAAAAGTAGACAGGGTGTCTGCCTCACGGACTAAAACTGGTAGTTGGTTCCACAGGAGAGGAGCCTGATAACTAAAAGATCTGCCTCCCATTCTACTTTTAGAAATTCTAGGAACCACTAGTAAACCTGCAGATTGAGAGCGAAGTGCTCTGTTAGGAACATAAGGAACAATCAGATCTCTGATATAAGATGGAGCTTGGCCGTTTAAGGCTTTATATGTGAAAAGGAGGATTTTAAATTCTATTCTTGATTTGACAGGAAGCCAATGAAGAGAAGCCAGGATAGGCGAGATATGATCTCTCTTTTTAATTTTCATTAGAACTCTGGCTGCAGCATTTTGGATCAGCTGAAGGCTTTTAACTACAGTTTGTGGACTTCCTGATAGTAAAGAATTACAATAGTCCAGCCTTGAAGTAACAAATGCATGGACTAGTTTCTCAGCATCACCCCTGGACAGGAGATTTCTAATTTTTGCAATGTTCCTCAGATGAAAGAAGGAAATTCTAGAAACCTCTTTGATGTGGGATTTAAATGACAGGTCCTGATCAAAAATAACACCAAGATTTTTTACTTTATTATCTGAAATCAGTTTAATCCCATCCAACTGAAGTGATTGGCTAATCAGTTTCTTTTTCAGAGACTCTGGTCCAAAGACTATAACTTCTGTTTTGTCTGCATTCAGAAGCAGAAAGTTAAGAGTCATCCAGGTTTTTATGTCTTCAAGACATGCCTGTAATCTATGTAATGGGTTAGCTTCATCTGGATTTATAGACAGATATAGCTGGGTATCATCAGCATAACAGTGGAAATTAATCCCATGCTGTCTAATAATTCTACCAATTGGGAGCATGTATAAAGTAAAGAGAATTGGTCCTAGCACTGATCCCTGTGGTACTCCACAGGTAACCTTTGAGCGTGTTGAAGATCTATCATTAACATGAACAAACTGAATTCGATCAGATAGATAAGATTTAAACCAGTCTAGTGCTGTTCCTTTAATTCCAACAAAATATTCAAGTCTTTCTAAAAGAATATTATGGTCAACTGTATCAAATGCAGCACTAAGATCCAACAGGACGAGCACAGATACAAGTCCATTATCTGAGGCCATGAGAATATCATTAGTGACTTTCACCAGAGCTGTTTCAGTGCTATGATGAGCTCTAAAGCCAGACTGAAACTCTTCAAAAAGTTCATTATGGTGGAAGTGATCGCAAACTTGTTTGGCAACTACTTTCTCAAGAATTTTGGATAAGAAAGGAAGATTGGATATAGGTCTATAATTGACCAAGTCATCTGGGTCAAGAGACGGTTTCTTAAGCAGAGGTTTAATTACAGCAACCTTAAAAGCTTTAGGTACATATCCCTGTAACAGAGATAGATTAATCACATCTAAAATGGAGGAGGAGATCAAAGGGAATACCTCCTTAAATAACCTGGTTGGAACTGGATCTAACATACAAGTTGAAGGCTTAGATGAAGACAATAATTTTGCTAATTCAGAGAGTTCAACTGGATCAAAGCAGTCTAAACCCGGTTCAGATTCCATGACTACCTCAGGTACAATCGCGGATAGAGGAGTGCTTATGATCTTATTTTTAATAAGATCAATCTTATTTATGAAGAATCCCATAAAATCATTGCTGCTAAGAGCAGGTGGAATGGACGGTTCAACAGAGATATGGCTCTGGGTGAGTTTGGCAACTGTATTAAAAAGAAATCTAGGATTATTCTTATTCTCCTCTATTAATGAGGAGAAGTATGCTGCTCTTGCTTTACAAAGGGTCCTCTTATACAGCAGTAAACCATTTTTCCAGACTAGGAAGGACTCTCGCAGGCCTGTGGAGCGATATTTTCTCTCCAGTTTCCTAGCATTTTGCTTCAAAGTACGCAGCTCTGCATTAAACCAAGGAGCAAGCTTTCTATTTTTAACGGTTTTCATTTTCAAAGGAGCTGCGTTGTCTAAGGCAATACGCAGAGAACTAGCAACCCCATCAACAAAATCATCAACCTGTGAAGGGGAATAAGCTAAGCTTTTGCACTCTGCAGCACTGCTCAGTGACACAGAGGAGAGAGAAAGTGAAGCAGATTCTTTAAAATTTATAACTGCACTATCTGATAAAGATCTACTAAAATTGAACCTTCTTTTGGGGGAGGAGAACTCTGTTAAAGTAATCCTGAAGGTTATTAGAAAGTGGTCAGAGAGGACAGGGTTGTGAGGAAATACTGTTATTTCTTCACATTCTATGCCATATGTCAGCACAAGATCCAAAGTATGAAGATGAGAATGCGTGGTACTATTCACATTTTGAACAAAGCCAATAGTGTCTAAGATAGCATTAAAGGCTGCTCTTAAGCTATCGCCTTCAATGTCAGCATGGATGTTAAAATCTCCCACCATGATGACCCTGTCAGTATTTAATACCAAATCAGAAAGGAACTCTGAAAACTCATCTAAAAATTCAGAGTAAGGACCTGGTGGACGATACAAAGTTACAAAAAGAAGAGGTTTTCTTGCCTTGAAATTTGGATCAGGGAAATTAAGGGTTAAATGTTCAAAAGAGTTGTAGGTATTAATTGTTTTGGGAGTAATCAGTAAGTCAGACTGGAAGATTGTTGCTACTCCTCCTCCTCGCCCAGAACTTCTGGGGATGTGAAAATTTAAATAGCTTGAAGGAGTTGCCTCATTTATGCTCACATAATCCTCTTGCTGCAGCCAGGTTTCTGTAAGGCAAAACAAGTCAATGTGATTATCACAAATCAAGTCATTAACTAGCAGACTTTTAGAGGAAAGAGATCTTATGTTAAACAGACCGCATTTAATTGTTTTAACTTTTTCCCCAATTGGAGTTATTTTGATTTTAATTAGATTATCATGATTTACTCCTTTGGGAATCTTTGCTAATTTATTAGATTTTGGTCGTGGGCAAGACACTGTCTGGATGGAGTAAAGAGTGGGTAACAGTAGAGAAGCTGCAGAGATGTGTGTTAAACTACAACTCTGCTTCCTGGTCTGCACCCTGGGTGGTCAGGGTTTTGGAGGACTAATAAATGTGGCCAGATTCCTAGAAAGAAGAGCTGCACCATCCAAAGTGGGATGGATGCCGTCTCTCCGAATCAGACCAGGCTTTCCCCAAAAGGATTGCCAATTATTAATGTAGCCCACGTTGTTTTCAGGGCACCACCTAGACAACCAGCGGTTGAATGACGACATGCGGCTAAACATGTCATCACTGGTCAGATCAGGGAGGGGACCAGAGAAAATTACGGAGTCCGACATTTTTTTGGCAAACTTACACAGACCAACACATGTACAGGGTGGCTCACACAACGACCATCAACAACATTGACCTGCCATACTACGAATGTGTGCGTGGGAGCAACAACCTGGAGGGATTCCACAAATCGCTGCCAAGCAAAATTCCTGGTATGCAGCAGTAGTGTGAAAAATCTTAGCATGAAGTGATTAATTAAAATGTTCTTAATATTTTCTCCCTGTGGTTTTTATTTTCAGGTCCACACTGTGCAGCACGGCCTTATCAGGTTTACCTGATCAGTGGCAATGCGAGCTGGAACGCAGACCGTCGCTCTCAAGCTGTGTTTGGTGTTAAAGGACAGCGACTCAGCACCTACTCTGAGCCCCTTATGGCTCGCCTCAACAACAACTATCGGCTCCTGTTTGGAGAGCCTGTGGACATAAACTTTCACGCTCCTGCTGATGTCACCTCTGCTGAGCTGCTCCGGCTGGAATACCTCTTCAGCCAGAGTACAGGGGAATCTGCCCCCTTCTCCTTTAAGGACATCATGGTCCTGATCCTGATGAGGAGGTGGTTGAACCTGGGCAACCGGAACCAGACGAGGCTTATGAGAGCGACCCAGAGAACTCTGGTGACATCCTGGTTTCTGCTCCGCCTCACATCATGCTCACCAGTGCAGAGACAGCGAACGTTCAACCTCCAGCCTTTGTAAGTAGCTGTTCAGTAGTTTCCCAATGCCGTTTCTTTTATGCCTGAAGTTCTGTATTCAAACGGCTTTAAATGAGCAAATATGGATGGTTTCATTTGACAAAAGAAGCAGAAGTCAAATTTCATACAACAATGAACAGAATTAAAGCATGAAACGGATCTAACATTTCTGTGTTTCTCTTTGGACAGGAAGATGTCTGTGGTCCCAGCCCCCTTCCTGGGTATCAGCAGCTGGAGAAATTCTGTTCGGTGCTGATCGACGTTGGTCTGACTGACGAAAAGTTGTCGCTCAGCACCCAGCAGAGAAACAGCATCCTGGAGGCGTGGAATGAAGTGGAGGAGCTGGGATCCCTCTGCCAAAAATAAACGTGAAATCAGTTCGGGACTTCATACAGCGGCAGGAGCGGATCCTCAACACAAATGCCACCCTGCAGCCCTCCTCCATCATAAATAAACTGCAGTCCATTTCCTCAGCAGACCTTCCTCCAGCACCTCATCAGCCTGCTGTCCTCCCTATACCAGCCTACCCACAGATAACATATGAGCCCACACCCAGCACAGCAGGAACTAAAATTCTAAAAGGCAGGACCGGTTTAATAATGCCCACCAACCCCCCTTCACAGCAGACTCCACATATTGATAAACCTGTCACCTCAACCATCTCCACACCTTTACCTGGGCCTTCTCCATCTTCCTCCTGCTTCTCTGTAGCCTCCTCCTCCACAGCCTCTGACATGGCAGGCCCCTCCCCGCACCACACTACCGCTGCCCAGCAGGTGATCCCTGATGTCTCTTCAGCTGGCACAGCTAAAGAGCCAAACTGGTCAAAAGCCACGCTGTACAAGCGGAAGTTAAAGGAAGATCTCACAGTAATCGGATTGAAGATGCACAAAGTGGACAAGTTGCCCCTTACAGGGCCATAAAAAATATAAAAAGAAGTCATTCTGCCCAATAAAGATGATGTCATCATCTAAAGGTCTGGATCCCAGAGTATATGACAGTTATGAACATTTTATCTCTGTTGTGGATGAGCTAGAGCACTGACTTTGCAATTAGTTTGCAGTATATTAGTATTTTAATGTATATAGTTTTTATTGTTCAATTTCAAACATGTTTAAAGTAGTATTTATGGTTATTCTTTGTAAATATTTCACAAACCATTTTACTATTACTTTTGTTTATTTTTATACTATTTCAAGCAAATTTACATAGTTCTTTATTGTAAATATTTCCTGACTTATTTAATAGTACGTTCCCTGTATTTATTTACATGCCTTTTATACTTTAAACATATTTTTTGATACTACTTAAAGCTGCTGCCCTGTATATTTCCCTTGTTGTATGCATCAGGCTTTGATGTTTCGTTATGTTATATAATGTTAAAGCTCTGGTAAAGAGTGGAATTGTTTTGAAAACACTGTTTAATAAAGTCATTCATTGATAAAGGAACAGTTTCTGGAATATATGTGTATATATATATATATATATATATATATATATATATATATATATATATATATATATATATATATATATATATATATATATATATATATATATATATATATATAAAACATAACACTTTAACATTGAAACAACAAAAATTCATTTCATTTATAGTCTTTAATAGCAAAATAATGCAGAAGTTTGATTTGGATAACATCATTTTATGTATTGCTCTTATACTACAAGTACATGTGAACGAGGCACATTCTTAGGAAATTGCATGAGGTAATATTTGATAACTTATTAAATATAGAGGAGCAGAGTAACTAGTGAAAAAATGCAAAAGTCTCTGTAGGCCGTCTGATGACAGTCCTGCTGACTATGATCCTCAGTCAAAAACAGAGACCAAACTGTTACAACAGGCAAATTTGAACCACAAGGAATTAAATAAACATTAAAATTTGTTTTAAAATACATAAATGTGTCCTTTCTCCACTGAATTAACAGATTAAAATGTCTCAGACAGGAATCCTCAAACTTAGACCATTATTTTTCCAGAGTGAGTGAGAACTTTCATCTCGGCGACGTAGATGCATGAAAGGATCAGCAGTCAAATCTGTGAAAACACAGAAACCTCAGTCAGTCAAACTATTAGTGGTAGTTTACAGCAAAACCTTTGGGATCTCAAAATCTGCCTCCAATCCTGCAATTTGAAGACATTTCTCTCTTTCAATAGGCTACCTACAATATCCTTTATGATGAAGCAGATCTTTCTATTTAGAGAATTTCTACTTAAACAGGTGTATTAAAATCCCCTAGAATGGATAAAATTAACTATTTTAATAGGCTAAATATTTCACGATGTTCCTATAAAGCTTACCTACATCTTCAACTTAAGCTATAATTCTGAGCATCCTGAATTTGAACAACCCAAACAGCTCATAATTTCTGCTTTGGAACCTGCTGATCATCAACTACATAATTTTCCAGTTGACTCAGAAAGAATGGCAACAAGTGATGCTTCAACATCCAACCAATCACTGATGGGCCCAACTTTCCCACACTACTCATTCAGAAAACTCTAGCCAGGTCAAAATCTAAGTTAGCTGTAGAACAAATTAACTGTAGAACAAAATGCACGTCGGTATGGTTGGTCCACCCATTTGAGAAACATTCGCATACAGAGAGGGGACTATTATAATCCAGGACAGTTTCTCCCCAGTTCTTTCTTATGAACGGGTCACCAGGGCAGAGCGCGAACGCAGTCCCCCTCTACCAGAAGTTATGCAGCTGAGATTCCCACACTTAGGGACTTCACAGGATTAAGTGCAGCTGGAGTACAATGGCTGAGCATCACCCTGGGAGAACCACATTCTTGATCATGGTATCTCCCCTGCTTGGTTAGTATGAGTTACTCAGTTCACACACCGGGAGTCATTTCACACACACACTTCAGTGACTAACGGTAGCAACACACCATTAACTAACAGGACCAGATAATATGAGGTGCCCCCAGGGACATAAATCAGAATTAACTTGCATATACACATATTAAATTACACTCTTCCATATAATATATTTTAAAGATGTTGGTACTGACAAAACTCTTGTGTATACGGTCTTACATTTTTCGTATCTTGGATAGGAAAATAATAGTATTTAAATATTGGAGGAATTTACCAAAACTCGACGCCTAAACAGCGAAATATTCTGTAAATTCTCTTTTGCTACAATAGAAAAATTCTGTAAAATACTTTTATTTCTTAATCAAATGGAATCGATTAAAGGGTTTTCTTTATAAGCAGCTTTATAATTTAAATCTAATCTTAACTCTAATCTTATATTCTAACCTTAAGTGTTGTCTTTATTAGCATTGGACAGAAAACATGACATTAAAAGTGTAAAAACACAAGTCTGTGTTTAATTGATTTATAATGTTTTTAACTGAACAAATCTACTGAAAATAAATGAACTTTTTAATAATAAATTAGACCATTTATTATGAATGTGTATATTTGAGCAACTAAACTGTGTCATATATGTTTCTCTGTGTCTACCTGGCTGGGATCACATGCAGCTTTCTTATTCAACACAAGTTTTTGTCTTAGACACATGAAGGTTCTTGGAGGAACTGTTCTGCATGCAGAAACCCTCCACACTGAATGGAAGAGGAGATGAACATGCATGCCAGACCCTCCCTGCTTTTAGAACAGGTTCCTAAAAGGTTTTGCAAGAGCTGAGAAGAGCGTTTTAATTTTGTTTTCTTTTTGGGAAAATCATTTTAAAATATTTTATAATAGCACCCTGAAGAGGGCAAACAGCATATACCATGGCCTCATATAAAGCTTAATCTGAACCTAACTCATTTTCGATCTCTTTGCAGATGTTTCTAACAATATTTTTCATGTTTTCATTGTCTTTAAAGATAAAAACTTCTATTTCAACTACCTCCTTTCCTTATATTTTATACAAGACCTGCCTCATCTCTTTGGACATCAGGAGTCCATCTCTTCTCTTTAAGTATTTTAAAACTGCACCTGTTTCGAAAAATGCCAAATGTTCTTCTAGTTCTTTGTTGTTAGAAACTTAGATACATATTTAATGGTTAATTAAATAAGTAAGAACTATTAAATTATTTTTGCATTAAGGATAAAAAACTATATTTATTTAATGCATGGATCTTAAGTAATATTTAATAGTTTTTTTTATTATAATTATAATTAAATTAATGTACGATTAGAGATCTTTCCAGTTTTTAATTTATGAAATATGCAGCTCATTTGGCTTTCCATACTTGCTCCTGTCACATTTTAACCCATTTATATATTTTTACTTGTGTGATTTTTTCTTGTGTGACATTTTTAAACTGGACCACAAAATGTTCTCGTCAAAATCTTTCTTAGCTGCTGTCTGACTGTGTTTGAAGGGGCAGATTCAGGTTCTGTATTTTCCCATCTCCACCTGCAGTGCAGCCAGTCTCATGTATATCAGCTTGACAAACTTCAGAAAAACTCTGACAACGGCATAATCAAGAAGGAATGGCTGCTCAGGGTGATTCCCACTACTGCAGTGGATAATCGAAATAAAGTAATAATAGGAAAAGATTTTATGAAACTTAAGAATAAAGCTCTAGTTTCCTTAAAAACATCTTAAAAAAATTATAATAATGCCCATTATTGTCCACCAAAGCATGTTTGTGTCAAATTTCAAACCTTTTTTCATTATATTTTTATTTTATTTTTTTAAGTAGATTTATTGAAAAATAAACGCTACCCTATATGGAATATGACCCTTGTACTTTTACACCCAGGCTTTTAACTAAAAAATAAATATGAAAGAGATGGAAGACTGGAAAAAATGCCATAAAAGATCTAAAAATAGGTAGAATGATAATGAAGAAACAGCATAGATGGTTGGGTGAGGGGTGAAAAATAGGTATCAGATTGACTTAGGATAGATGAATAAACATGAATAGATAGAGGAATAAATTAAAGAATATATGGTGGTATGAATACTGTAGATTGCTGAATGGATTATGAAAAAACAATTGATGAATTCATATATGGATAGATAAGCATATCTTTAACCCTTCATCACTTTCATGCTGTGTAAGAATCCTTGGTTGCCTAAAGTTGCTGCATTTTAACTAATAAAACATAAAGCAGACAAACTTATCTTTAGAATTTCAGCTGTTATCTTGGCAGGTTTAAAAAATATTAACAAAGAAAGAAAACATCTTCACAGATTTTAATCCTAATCTCAAAAAGTTTGATCCACTCATTCATCCATCTAATCATCTCGGCATGTTACAAATACCTATAAGGCCATTATTGTATTGTATTTTCACTTTAATAAATGCTCTGAAAAGAAAAAATAACCAAGCAGAAACCATAGAGTATGCCGCAGTCATTGAGTGACAACATGATTTATTACAATCAACTAGAACAAAACATCTTAATCCACAAGGGAATCTCAAAAAGACAAGCGAAAATATTGTAACAATCCCATAAGACAGGCTAATTGGACTGCAATAGGAAAACCAAAACTTATTTTATCCCAGGAAGTCTTCATTGTAGACCACTTGGTTTCTCTTATCCCTGTAGGAGCCTTTGGTGCTGTTCTGCACAGCTGTAAACATAAATACATAGAGAAAAGATGGTAAATCTTCAGAAACAAGCTCTGTGCGGTTGGTGTCTAAAAGAAAAAACGAGATCAGATCTGGGCTTACCAAGGGAGGCCCAAACCGATTTGCCGGTGGCGGCATCCAGCATAGGCTGCTTCCTGGCGATGCTGACTTTAATGTGAACGTCTCCCACCATGGCTCCATTCAGCTATTGGAGAAAAAACAAAAGGATAAAGGTAACGTGGGGGTTTCTAAAAAAGGCAAAACTGACAGAGAGATAGAAAACAGTTAAACTGGAGACAAAGATTAAAAGTCTCAAAGTCCCATTGTTCTATCTATTTTAAGTATTTTCAGATAAGGAACTTTGAAAAATTATGCCTTTGTAAAACCTGCTAATAATAAAAGACTAAAAATGCAAATCCAGATATAATATAGCTCTAATGTTTAAGAACCTTTTTATGTATGAAAGTTTCACAAAACACAGTTAGTCGCCTAAAACACAAGTGTCCTTTTAAACCAATTAGGAGATGGACTGAGAATAAGTGGAAAATCAGCTAAAGGCTACAAAAACCTATCAAAATATGACCATACCAACCTCAGTTACAGCCTGGTCTGCAGACTCCATCTTCTCAAACGTAATGAATGCACAACTACACAGAGAAAAGAAAAAAAAACACAAACGAGTCTATGACTAAGTAATGATGATAAACAAGTTTGAAGAATATTAGGTGAAAATCAATAGTTTAATAGTTTACATACTTGCGTGGGTTGTCCATAGAGAGGTCAATGATGTTCCCATGCTGGGAGAAGGCAGAGCGCAGGCTGTCCTCCACGAGACCAGAGCCATAAACATAGACAGTATTTCCCTTCCGCAAACCTCTGCGCTCTGGGTACGAGTCTGACCCTAAGAGTTAAAAAAAGGTGCCATTCAGTGAATAAGAACCATGCATTAAAAGTTCATAAATGAGACATACCTCAAATAAAGCGGGTTTTATTTCATGTCAAGCACTTTGTATTGTTTCTGTACAGAATTGTGCTCTAAAATTATACACGCCTTGCCTAAGATGCTAAGACACTAGAATGCAGTAAACCATTCAAAAAGCCTTGAAAGGCAACTTACTTCTGAAAGGGATGTCTCTTTCTCTTTCCCGATCCCTCTCCTGGTCTCTATCTCTGTCTCTGCTTCGATCTCTGTGTCTTTCTCTTTCTCTTTCCCTGTCCCTATCTCTTTCTCGACCTCTATCCCTTTCCCGGTCTCGATCACGATCCCGATCCCTGTCTCTGTCTCTCTCCCACTCCCTGTCCATGTCTCTTTCCCTCTCTCGGTCCATATCATGGCTGGATGACATGCTTCCTCCTTCATCTTCATCCCGGTATCGGTCGCTTGAACTTACAAAACTGCAGGGATGCATTAAAATGTACTGTTAGAACCATAGGGGACACTTAGATGCTAAATTAACTGTATATAGTGGTTTGGATCATTACCTCTCATACAGAGACTTCCTTTGGGCTCTCTTTCCAGACTAGAACAAATGACACAAAGAAACTTCAGAAAAGAGAGCATATAATTCCTCTAAAAATATAAACCCTTGAGAGAAAGCCCTATAAAGATTACAGAACAACGGTTAAACAAAACAAATGGATAATATTCTGTTTATACCTCAGGTTGATCATCATCTGTAGAGAAACTCCTCTGGAAGGGTAAGAAAGCTGGAGCTGGGCCTTTTTCTGGATCCTGATGAAGTTTAAAAATAAAATCAAAATGAGAAAAAATAAAAAGCCAACCAGAAATAACAGTAAATGTGGGATATAATGATGATAATCAACTTTACATGACAATAACATTTGACTTCTGTATTTAACCCAATTTCTTAGGGAGCAATCTGGAGCTAAGGGTCTTGCTCAGGGACCAACAGGCACTGGGATTTGAACTGGGTACTTTCCATATAATATCACCTTAATCAAAACCAATCAATTAGCTGATGACAAGAATATGATACACATGATGGCTCATTTATTATTTAGGCAGTGATAAACTATTAACCCTAACAGATTTAAGGTTTTTTCCGCCCTAAACAGCAACTACTATTGAGTGTTGTACAATCCTTTGCCTTATGAAGCAAAATTATTCTTGATTATACTATTCGGGTTTTTATATACATTTACATTGTTCCACTTGGCAAATTTTGGTTTGGATGGTAAAAAAAACAAAACTTTTTATTTGAAATGCATATTTTCCTTTTACAGAGGTTACTTTGGTCTATTTTTTTTGATGATCTAAAAGT